CGCCGCTGCAAGTTTATGTTTTTAAACCACTCATATACCATCATAAACCATGATCGCAACATTTGTGCAAGTGTCTTTTCCTGCTCGGCAGCCCCTGAAGTCGATATTTTGGTTCTATCCCACTATCTCCCCCCAAACAGACAGTCGAATATTTTAGCAGGTGGTGGATACATGCAGTCGTGGGACCTAGGCTGCATGCAGTATTGGGACCTAGGCTGCACTCTCTCCAGGGGAATAGGTGGGTTGGGGTTAGGCCCAATTCTAGATGTTTTTAGGTAGAAAGACGGGAAACCCGCTTTTAGGCTAATCAGTGTAGTGAGGCCTCTGCGACAGCTAATCACAGGAATCAGGTGTTATTGGTAACTTGACAAATACAAATTAATTTCCGCCTCGCTAGCGTAGTCGGTTAAACCGGACTTCGCGGCGACCTGGGTGACGAACTCCTTGTGTTCTGGGTTCACGCCCGGGGGTAGGCAGAAAAGCCACATTACTCCCATATTTACGGTGTCTATCATGGAATCAAGGCCGAAGGGTTGCGATATCCATAGTACCGAGCCAAAGGGTTAACAACTTATGGTTTCTGAAAATTAAAAAAACCAGAAAAAAAAAAATACAAATTATCATGGAGCCTTATGCTCGTGGTGCCACCCGGAAGTGCCCAGCGGGCCCATTTCTTAAGACGGAACTGGTGTCCCCACATGTATATATAATATATAATACAGTGGACGCATGAGAAGTCTTGTCAGCTAAAACAGGACTGTGACTATCAACCGGGGAACGCTGATGTATATGTTAAAGGGGAAATCTGAGCACCTATGGACATGTCCCGAGTGCCGTGAAGATAACCCCAATGTGTGTGTGTGTGTGTGTGTGTGTGTGTGTGTGTGTGTTTTGTGTGTGTGCGTAATTCAAAATTTAAACAATGAACCATACAAAAAAATTTCCTTTTTCAAAATTAAACTTACAGGTAAATTGAAAATAATGTCTACTTTTGTCTAGTTCCAGTGTATTTATAATTGAAAAACAAAATTGTCAAATTTTTGTTTTGTTTATTGCAATGTCTATGATCAGTTTGTCAAGCTATCTTCTGTAACGCTTCTGCTTCTACAAAAGACAGTGAAGTTCATACTAGAGACAACATTGTAGATATAGATAATCTATTTCAAGCGAACAAATAAAGAAGAAGATGAAGAAGACATCTGCTTCTGTGTTTAATAGAGATAAGGCATCCAGCCTGCCATGCTGCATTGTTGTTCTGTTGGGATTTGTTAATACATACTTCAACCGAGAAAATAAACTATCAGCTTCATGGTTGTTGAACGTTTCTGTAGTACCCCCTCCCTTTATAATGCCATGAGCACGTCCTTAATGTGCCTAATGGTAAATTCGGCTCTGCCTATAACAGTTATATAAGGACACAGTTACAATGTACACTTTAGTCCAATGTGGTGTGATTCATGTTGACAACAAGGTTTGGTTTGAGTTGACTGCAATATTATTTCATCATCTTCTTCTTCTTCTTCTTCTTCTTCTTCTTCTTCTTCTTCTTCTTCTTCTTCTTCTTCTTCTTCTTCTTCTTCTTCTTCTTCTTCTTCTTCTTCTTCTTCTTCTTCTTCTTCTTCTTCTTCTTCTTCTTCTTCTTCTTCTTCTTCTTCTTCTTCTTCTCCTTCTTCTTCTTCATCTTCTTCTTCTTCTTCTTCTTCTTCTTCTTCTTCTTCTTCTTCTTCTTCTTCTTCTTCTTCTTCTTCTTCTTCTTCTTCTTCTTCTTCTTCTTCTTCTTCTTCTTCTTTTTCTTCTTCTTCTTCTTTCTCTTCTTCTTCTTCTTCTTCTTCTTCTTCTTCTTCTTCTTCTTCTTCTTCTTCTTCTTCTTCTTCTTCTTCTTCTTCTTCTTCTTCTTTTCTTTCTTCTTCTTCTTCTTCTTCTTCTTCTCTTCTCTTTCTTCTTCTTCTTCTTCTTCTTCTTCTTCTTCTTCTTCTTCTTCTTCTTCTTCTTCTTCTTCTTCTTCTTCTTCTTCTTCTTCTTCTTCTTCTTCTTCTTCTTCTTCTTCACATTTACTGGCTGTTAACTCCGGCAGAAAGATCCGGTTGTTTGTCCACCTCTGGACTTTTGTTTTGTTTTGTTCTAGAACCTGAGCGTTAGGTGCACATCCGTTTAACAGATCTGACTTCATTATGTGTAGACTGTTGGTTCATTGCCTTTTACGCAGGTGCACTCCGTCTTTAAAGGAAGCGCTAGTGAGTCGACTCTTACGACATGCTTGTTGGGGAGGCAGTGTCTATTCTTGCTTTCGACACAATGACGCACTGGAAACCCCACTGGGAGAATTTCCTTTCAGAAGCATAACTGTCACAATCTCTGGGACGAGGGAATCGTGGCAGCCGACCGGTTGATCCCCTGACTCCCGTTGATATGTGAACTGGATTCAACGAGGTTATAAATAATGCATACAGACGGCTTAACTGAGTTGCTGATATCCACATTAGTTTCACAGCGCTGATCTTCATCTTCTTCTCTTTACGTCTTCTTTTATCGGTTCAGGTGTCGAGGGAGATATAAGGTCTTCCTGCTTTTCTGACTACTTCGATCATAGACACATCTGGTGCTGTAGAGTTTTCTGATGTTATCTTTCTATTAAGTTCTTGGTCTACCTCTTGCTCTACGTCGCTCTCCTCTTTGGGTATATGCCTTGTATGGTATAGCATCAGATGACATTCTCTCCAAGTGGGCAAACCATTTGATTTGCTGTATTTGTATGTAATTTAGAATTGGTTCTGTGCCTACGTTATCTCTATGACCTCATTCCTGATATCATCTCTTCTTGTCACTTCTACAGCCTTTCTCGGACACTTCCTTTCCATGGCTACTAATTTTAATTTTTTTTTTAATTTTTTGTTCTGAGTGACCACATCTGGCACTAGTAGCATAGGGTGTGAATGAATATCTTCTTCTTCTTCTTCTTTTTCTTCTTCTTCTTCTTCTTCTTCTTCTTCTTCTTCTTCTTCTTCTTCTTCTTCTTCTTCTTCTTCTTCTTCTTCTTCTTCTTCTTCTTCTTCTTCTTCTTCTTCTTCTTCTTCTTCTTCTTCTTCTTCTTCTTCTTAATCTTCTTATTCGTTTCTTTTCTTCTTCTTTCTTCTCTTTTTCTTCTTCTTTCTTTCTTCTTTCTTTTCTTCTTCTCGTTTCTTCCTTCTTCTTCTCCTTCTTCTCTTTTTCTTTAATGCTATTCTTTCTTCTTCAGCTGTAAAATCTGGCAGAAAGTTCTAGTTGTTCATCCACTTTTGAACTGCAGTCATGTTTCAGAACCTGAATGTTGCGTGTGCATCCATTTTACAGATCTGACTTATTTATATGCAGACTTCTGGTTCCTTGCCTCTCAGGCAGATGTACTCCGACTTCGAAGGAAGCTCCCACTTAGTCGACTCTTAGTCGACATGCTTTGGGGTAAGCCGTGGGTCTATTCTTTTTTCCTCCTATAATAGGGCCCCGGAACCCACACGGGGAGGAAAAAATATGCTTTATATGTGATGTTTCTTTGTACAGCGTTGATCGCAAGCTTCAAAATGGACAAAATATTTGCCTAATATTGCCTTTGCTAGTAGCAGTATCTTCTTCTTCTGCGTTATTTGAGGTTTTGAACAACGGATCAATATCATGGAACACTGTTAGTAACCCTAAGTGCTCCGTTCTTCATCTAACTCAAGTCTGAGTCCAAGGCTGCAATATAGCCCGGCCTTAAATATGGTCTAATGGCTGAACGCGGTTTTGGGATCTCTCCATGGGTGATCCTCATCCACATGATGGCAATTTGTGTCATCTGGTGTTTATCGCTTGTGTAATGTTCTCTTGGGGTAAAAGAAGCTAGAGATAGAACAACTATCATTTCATTCTCAGTAACTTTGGAACTTCGTGTTTTTTTAATGGGTTGGGGGCGGGGGAAGGAGGGGGGGGGGAATTGGGGGAACTTTCTAGTAGATCTTTCTTTCCCCGATTGCCTGTGTCATACAAAAATGTTGAGTACACTCAAATTCAAATAATGAATGTATTTATTTCACCATTAAAGTTTTTTTTTCCCCTCCAAGCTTTAGTAATCATTGATGAATAAAATAATAGTTTATTGTCTACTCAAGTATGTCCTGAGATAGATTCCAGGGTCCCATTTTTGGGCGGGGAGGGGTGGAGGGGGGCGAGGTACTCAGCATTGACCCACTGTTCTGTTTCTAGAATGTCATCAAATACGACTCATTAAGTGTTTGCTGTAATTGGATGTGTTGAGTCGAAAGGCGCAGATATCACTCCCTAGCTGTAAACCACAACGCGACCACCGTCTGTTTTATGGGCGAAATGAGAATACAAATAATAATGATGATGATGATGATAATAAATAATAATAATAATAATAATAATAAAATAATAATAATAATAATAATAATAAGAAAGAAGAAGAAGAAGAAGAAGAAGAAGAAGAAGAAGAAGAAGAAGAAAGAAGAAGAAGAAGAAGAAGAAGAAGAAGAAGAAGAAGAAGAAGAAGAAGAAGAAGAAGAAGAAGAAGAAGAAGAAGAAGAAGAAGAAGAAGAAGAAAGAAGAAGAAAGAAGAAGAAGAAGAAGAAGAAGAAGAAGAAGAAGAAAGAAGAAGAAGAAGAAGAAGAAGAAGAAGAAGAAGAAGAAGAAGAAGAAGAAGAAGAAGAAGAAGAAGAAGAAGAAGAAGAAGAAGAAGAAGAAGAAGAAGAAGAGGAAGAGGAAGAGGAAGAGGAAGAAGAAGAAGAAGAAGAAGAAGAAGAAGAAGAAGAAGAAGAAGAAGAAGAAGAAGAAGAAGAAGAAGAAGAAGAAGAAGAAGAAGAAGAAGAAGAAGAAGAAAGAGTACTAGCAGTATTCATACATATCTTCTTTCATAGTGTATTATGTATCTATTATTCAAGCAAAAATTATTGAAGGACGAAATAATACTGAATTAGTGCATGCACAATTTGACGCATCAACCAATAGCGGTGATGTTTCTTTTTCAGGCTACCTGGAGCAAGGGCTCATGGTCGTGGACCCTATCAAGCTCCGGAAGAATTACATGAAAACCAAAACATTCTACATCGACTCGGCCAGTATGCTGCCTACAGACCTCTTCTACTTGCTCAGACGAGGCTTGGACATCCCTTACGTCAGGTTTAACCGTCTGTTTCGTGTTAAGCGGCTTCTGGAGTTTTTCGACCGTACTGAGACCAGAACCAGCTTCACCAACATGTGGCGAATTCTACACCTGGTCCTCTATATTCTCATCATTATTCATTGGAATGCCTGTATATATTTCGCTATCAGCGCTGCTCTAGGCTTTGGTTCAGATGGATGGGTGTATCCCAACCTCACCGGACCTCACGATGACCTGTCTAGAAAGTATATCTACAGTTTTTATTGGTCAACGCTGACACTGACCACAATCGGAGAGACGCCTCGACCGGAACGAGATGAGGAGTTTCTTTTCGTCGTGGTAGACTTTCTGATCGGTGTTCTTATTTTTGCCACGATCGTGGGTAATGTTGGCAGTATGATAACAAACATGAACGCCGCTCGCTCGGAGTTTAACCAGCGCATGGATGGCGTCAAGCAATATATGGAGTTCCGAAAAGTCAGCAAAGAACTAGAGGAGAGAGTCATCAAATGGTTCGATTATTTATGGACCAACAAGCAATCTTTGAATGAAGAAGAAGTACTATCAGCTCTTCCAGATAAACTCAAAGCCGAAATGGCTATCCATGTCCACTTAGACACTCTAAAAAGGGTGAGCATATTCCAGGACTGCGAGCCGGGCTTACTGGTTGAGCTGGTCCTCAAGCTGCGACTGCAGGTCTTCAGCCCAGGCGACTACATCTGCAGGAAGGGCGACATCGGCAGGGAAATGTATATTGTAAAAAGGGGAAAGCTCAGCGTGGTCGGTGACGACGGTTCCACGATTTATGCCACTCTTAGTGAAGGCAGCGTCTTTGGTGAGGTAAGTGTGCAGTATATGTATGAGCATCATTAACTTTGGTGGGGTAAGTGTGCAGTTTATTTATGAGCATCATTAACTTTGGTGGGGTAAGTGTGCAGTTTATTTATGAGCATCATTAACTTTGGTGGGGTAAGTGTGCAGTTTATACTTGGGCAGTTGTAATGTTGTGAATTCCTGGGGAAATCCCAGAGAGTTCCCGATGGACAGGACAAGATCGGAGGACCAGTAATACAAGAGAAAAACGAGATAGGTTTGTAATCCATGGTGAGCGAAATAATGGATACAAGAAAAGCTTGAGACGGGATCGGAAGACGTGAACCGAGAGTAAGACAGTTGAAGTTCGCGCCTGGTTGCGAGAGGTCGTATGAATGGACGCATGAGGAGAATGAAGGAATTGTGAATACTTGTTATGTTTCGAGAGGACATATGAATGTTTCCTACATGTCCTAATAGCAAGTACAAGGTTTTGCTAGAGGATGGATGTGCGATTCGAAAGACGCTGATGGATCAAAGTGGTGTGTGAGAAGATTGACCAGGCCGTCGGAAATCAGCCAAGCAGAACGAACACGACGACTATAGAATGCGTACCTATGATATGTTGTGATTCAGCGAATAAAAGCATGTAACTGAATATTCGCCTCTGCTGTGTCGTGACAACATACTGTTCGTCAGATAGAAATGTGGCTTACCAAATCAAAGCCCTAGCAGAGCACATTGCAGCAGCAAATACTTTAGTGAGGCAAGTGTGCAGTTTATACTTGGGTAGCATATACTTTAGTGAGGCAAGTGTGCAGTTTATACTTGGGCAACATATACTTTAGTGAGGCAAGTGTGCAGTTTATACTTGGGCAGCGTATACTTTGGTGAGGCGAGTGTGCAGTTTATACATGGACAGCAGGTACTTTGGTAGGGTGAGTTTGCATTTTTTACGTGGACAGCAGGTACTTGGTTGGGGGGTAAGTGTGCAAATTATACGTGGACGGTATGTACTTTGGTGAGGTAAGTGTAAAAATTACACTTAGACAACATGCTCATAATGGGGTAAGTGTGCAACTTACACTCCAGCATGATGCACTTTAAAACGTATACGTGCAGTATACACTTAGACGGCGTTACAGTGAGAGAGTCATGGACTTGTATCAAACAGACACATAAATCAGACACAGCATGCATCAGACACATACATGTATCATACAAAGTCAAGTATCTGACACGCACATGTATCAGACACAGACATGTATCAGACACAGACATGTATCAGACACGGACATGTATCAGACACAGACATGTATCAGACACACACATGTATCAGAAACAGACATGTATCAGACACAGACATGTATCAGACACACACATGTATTAGACACAGACATGTATCAGACACAGACATGTATCAGACACGGACATGTATCAGACACGGACATGTATTAGACACAGACATGTATCAGACACAGACATGTATCAGACACAGACATGTATCAGACACACACATGTATCAGACACACACATGTATCAGACACATACATGTATCAGACACGGACATGTATTAGACACGGACATGTATCAGACACAGACATGTATCAGACACAGACATGTATCAGACACAGACATGTATCAGACACAGACATGTATCAGACGCAGACATGTATCAGACGCAGACATGTATCAGACGCAGACATGTATTAGACGCAGACATGTATCAGACACAGACATGTATCAGACACAGACATGTATCAGACACAGACATGTATCAGACACAGGCATGTATCAGACGCAGACATGTATTAGACACAGACAGGTATCAGACACAGACATGTATCAGACACCGACAGGTATCAGACACAGACAGGTATCAGACACAGACAGGTATCAGACGCAGACATGTATTAGACACAGACATGTATCAGACACAGACATGTATCAGACACAGACATGTATCAGACACAGACATGTATCAGACGCAGACATGTATCAGACGCAGACATGTATCAGACACAGACATGTATCAGACGCAGACATGTATTAGACAGACATGTATCAGACACAGACATTTATCAGACACACACATGTATCAGACACAGACATGTATTAGACACAGACATGTATTAGACACAGACATGTATCAGACACAGACATGTATCAGACACACACATGTATCAGACACGGACATGTATTAGACACAGACATGTATTAGACAGACATGTATCAGACAGACATGTATCAGACGCAGACATGTATCAGACGCAGACATGTATCAGACACAGACATGTATCAGACACAGACATGTATCAGACACACATATGTATCAGACACACACATGTATCAGACACAGACATGTATCAGACACAGACATGTATCAGACACAGACATGTATCAGACACAGACATGTATAGACACAGACATGTAAGAGACACAGACATGTATCAGACACAGACATGTATTAGACACACACATGTATCAGACACGGACATGTATCAGACACGGACATGTATCAGACACGGACATGTGTCAGACACACACATGTATCAGACACAGACATGTATCAGACGCAGACATGTATTAGACAGACATGTATCAGACACAGACATGAATCAGACACAGACATGTATCAGACACACACATGTATCAGACACAGACATGTATCAGACACACACATGTATCAGACACACACATGTATCAGACCCAGACATTTATCAGACCCAGACATGTATCAGACCCAGACATGTATCAGACACAGACATGTATCAGACACAGACATGTATCAGACACACACATGTATCAGACCCAGACATTTATCAGACACAAACATGTATCAGACCCAGACATGTATCAGACAAAGATGTTTCATGATAGAAGGCGATGGAGGAGGAAGTGAAGAATAATGACAATAATAATACCAATAACAACAAATGTATGCATTACTATTAAGGAGATGAAAGCAAGTATCAGAAATATGTCTACAATATCGTGTTCATGTTTTTCTCCCCAGGTGAGCATCCTAAACATTGCAGGCAACAAAACAGGCAATCGACGGACGGCGAACGTCCGCAGTCTCGGCTACTCCGATCTGTTCTGTCTTTCTAAAGAATCGCTCTGGGACGCTTTGACCGAGTATCCGGAAGCCAAGAGAAAGCTGATGGAAGCAGGTCGGCAGATCCTGATGAAAGATAACTTGCTGGACGAAGAGGCCATGAGACGGGCCGAGGAAAAACAAGAGACGATGGATCAGAGAGTAGACAGAATTGATACGAGTTTGGATAATCTTCAAACCCGCTTTGCTCGTCTGCTGGCCGAATTCAATGCCACGCAGCAAAAACTCAAACAAAGGATGACCAAAGTCGAGAAGGTGTTGGCTCGGGAAGAAGACATTGTCTCCACGTACTCAAACGCAAATACAGAAGTGGCACCAGTGGTAACGGAGACATCTAAGAGTTAGCCTGCTATTTGAGACATGTAGCCAACACACTTAGGTTTAGCGTTCTGCTGTGTGGTCGTCGTCACCGCCTGCCGGGCTGGCTCATGTTTAGGCAGTGCTGTTGTCTCAAAAGTGTACATACATCTTCTCCAAATATGCATTAACTCTAAAATGGCTTCGATAGGCATTCACCCACAGGGCGGATACACAACTGACATCATATGGATACATATCAACTGGCTTTATCCGGAATCACATCAGCTGAAAACGTATGGATACACGGCTGACATCATGTGGATAAACAGCTGACATCGTATGGATACACATTGATATCGTATGGATACATATCAAGTGACATCGTCCGGATCAACTTTCAGTATGTGTGTATACATCGACTGTCAGTATGTGGGTACATACCAACTGCCATTATGTATGTCCACACCAACTGTCACTTTGTATGTAAACATCACTTGTCAGTATGTGGGTATACATCAACTGTCAGTATGGGGGTACACACCAGCTGTCAGTATGTATGTACACATCCACCATCAGTATGTGGCTGCACATCACTTGTCAGTATGTTGGTATACATCAGCTGTCAGTTTGTGGCTACACACACCAGCTGTCAGTATGTTGTCCACGCCAACTATAAGTATGTGGGTACACATCTATTGTCTTTATGTGGAAACACATCAGCTGTCAGAACTTAGGTAACAGCAACTGTCAGTGTGTGAATACACACCAGCTGGCAGTGTATGGATACACATCAACTATCAAAAATGTGGGATACACACCGACTGTCAACATATGTACACAACTGTCAGTGTTTTGACACACATCAACTAACATCGTGTGCATAGTCATCAGACGGCAATAATGCGAATTTAAGTCCAATGATATCATGTAAACGACGAATCTCATCGGAGATTTTTACAAAAAGCCAATACTCACACAATATCGTTGTCAGCACAGTTCGTCTTTAGCAGTTCCGTGTATAGCTGTAGTCAAACCGGCATGTATTTCTTGGTCACAAATGCGTGGACAGTCCGGCCACAACTGGAATTTTCAACTTGCAATTAATGTTGAGATATTTCATGCAAACATTTCATTGTTTTACAAACGTTGCTTTCATGCATACATTTCATTTTTCATTGTCTTGTTTGATGCAGAAATGTTAGGTTTCGTTGACTGATGGATGCAGATGCTTCATGTTTCAGTTTCTTGTTTCATGAGTGTTCACAAAACCTATGCCATTCTTTTCATGTTACTCGATTTTGAATGTTTAGAGTGATTGCTAAGGCAAATCGATACGATATGAGGTGTGTTTTTCTGTTTAACTTTAATGACACAACTGTATAGGCAATTTTAATTCCAAATATCTTGCTAATTTTAGTGAAATCGTCATTGCATTTTTAAAAAAATAATGCTCACATATGCGCACGCACGCGCCCGTCAACATACACAGTACACACACAAACACACTAACACACACAAACACACTAACACACACAAACACACTAACACACACAAACACACTTAAGGTAAGTGGCGCCTATGAAAAGAACTGTAGGGGTATGGCGTGGTCAGAATTTTTTTTTTTTTCATTACCAAGTTGTTTCTCTCTCTCTATCTCTCTCTCTCTCTCTCTTTCTCTCTCTCTCTCTCTCTCTCTCTCTCTCTCTCTCTCTCTCTCTCTCTCTTTTTTTTAAAAATAACTTAGGAGATACTAGTCGGCTCTGTGGCTAAGTCGATGCGAACGCTTCGTAATGCCGGGATGCCGGGTTCGATCCCAGCTGCAGGCCATGCGTCTTGCGTTGGTTTCGACAGTGGTATCAAAAAAGTCGACCGTCCAGAGGCAATGGCAAACTACTGGACGTAAATTTACCTAGAAAAAACCACACAACAGCCAGGTGCTGTTGGGTGTTGGTTCTGCAACGTCCTGTAAAGGATACGCAACTAACAAGGAGATACTAATAATCAGTAATTGTTTATATTTTTGATAGTGCGACGCTCTTCTAGCCTTCTTCAACAAAATTAAAATTGTTGTGTTACTTCCAGATGAGACGCTGCTACTAGAAAGAAGACAAGTTGATTCATGTGTGTGCGCGCGCGCGCAAGCACGTGAGTGCTTGTATGTTTTTTCTTATGGTTTTGATGGTTTTGAACAACAGATCAACATTATGGCACAAGAAAAGAAACTCAAAAGTGCTCTGTTTTACTTTCAACTCAAGCCTGAGTCAAAAGATAGTGCACGAACTCCGTTGCGCCGGCAAGGATCCTAAAATACTTTAGGTAGATTTTTAACTCTAAATAGTTCCCGGGCATCGCCGTTAGGCTACTCTTTTCGATTTCCACCAGAGCTTAAACTAGGGACCTCTAGTACTCGAGGCGGACGCCATGCCTCGAGACCACCCAACCGCTCCAACTGGGTGTGTGTGTTTATGGCGCCCTCTTACCGTGATGACCATGGCATCTGGCTTTACCTGCCAACACAAACAGTCCGATATTAGAAATGCAGTTCATCATTAACAGAAGCAGGGGTACACACAGATCAGCAGATGCACCTGCAATTCATTTTAACCACATAAGGCACCACCAATTCTGTGGCAACAGGCCGCTCGCCATTTTCTGAATCTACAGTTCGCAACACCACGTTGGTCACAGTCGAGAAACATTCCAAATAAAAATCCGCGCTCACAGTGTCGCGCCTTACTTTTAACTCAGTAGCTAGGCGACATAATGTCCTTCTTTTGCTAGTTGTTTGAAATGACTTTTTTTTCCACGCGTATTTGGGTATTTAGGGCTAGACTATAATTTATAGGCCAATCGGTACTCCATGGGTGATGTGGTCAGTATCACGACAGCTGTCTTTACATCCCAGGACTCCAGTTGGTGCCATTTGAGGATGGGTTGACCAGGGGACTGGGTTAATTTTTATAATGTCCGGCTCCTCTAACAACCGAACCTACGACCTTCGGACCCGCAGGCAAGCGTCTAGCTGCTACACCACGTTGGCCCCCTTTGCTAATTGCGTAGCCGGTGTTAATGTCATATATGATTTCTGTATTGTCTTTTATTTTCTCCACCCAAATGTTTCTTGGTTAACCTTTTGCCATGTAGCCTGCTGTTCTACATTAAGACCCAGTTTTTGGCTGATTTTATACTATTCTGACCAGGTGACCAAACCCTATTGATTTTTTTTTCCATGTTCTATGAAATCATACCGACACTCCGACACACCGACACCATTACAGAAATACACATCACACTTACTTGTGGCGACTAAGAAATATATGAACGAACAAACTTTATTGTTAAAGGGTAAACAAATTTGGCTAGCACACTGAGGCTGTGACGTGAACCGTGACGTGTAAAACATTGTGAAATACACTGAGATAAGATGGCAATGTAGCATCAGAGGTAGAGGGATTATGTAATGTTAGCCATGTTTTAGACCAGAGCAGTGTTGATGGCATCAGGGCTAAAAGTAATATTTCTCTTCCCACCCCCCCCCCCCCCCCCCCTTTTACACACTAGCTTACATCTGACTGGTAGACCTTGAGCCGCGTGACTTGACACAAGGTTACGGGAGTGTTCCGCAATGCCGTTGATATCGCGTGTTGTATATTTCAGCACGCTTCCAACTCCAAAAACATGGACAAATTAACAACCCCCCCCCCCCCCCCCCAACCGACCCTCAAAGAGTGCTTCAACCTATGTCACAGGCATTCTCTTTCTCAGAATAAAAACGTAAATGCAAGACAACCCAGAAAGCAAACAACAGAGTCGCACACCCGTAACCTGCAGAAAAGTAGACCAGCTCAACAAACTTGTGAATGAAACGTGATCTATTTTTGGGGGGGAGACTAACTTAAACCTAACCGCATATATACACACATAAACACATGAACATACACACATGATACACACAACTTTGCTACATATAGATTTTCATTATAATCACAAATTTCCATTCCTGCCTTTTAACGTAGTGGGGTGGGACACTCTGAAATCAATTGCTTGATGGGCAGCAATGGCTACTGTCATTCCATGTCGATGTAGAAGTTATTTAATATCATCATTCCATTATCTCCTAGGGTGACCTCGTGCTTTCACACCAGATCGTTTCATGTGTAGCGCCTGCTTGGGTAGTTGTTCTAGTTGCTTTCTTACTAGATGACCAAACCATTTGGTTTTCTGCTTCTCTGTGGATTTGCTACACAGTTCCCACAATTTGTCTGATATCTTTTCTAACTTTGTCTCCGATTGTTAAGTTGGCGGCTTTTCTCTGGCATCTCATTCACAGCTGTTCATTTTGCGTAGGCCAGCCATTGAACATGTCAAATTGGGTCACTGGTAGCAAAGTGTTTGTATCAATATGCTGTTTAAAATCTGTTTCTTGGGGGTCGTAATTATGTTTGGATGTCCTAATAACAGTGTCAGCTGGAGTATAAGTGCACTGTCTCATTGGTATCATGTTTCTATTTTACGATGTATTATTCCGTCTTCCGAGAATATACCTCCTAGACATGTAGATTATGTAACTTGATTTAGATAAGTACCATTCAACCCTATATGTAGCGGACTAGGAATTTCATTAAGTTGCATAGACTAACCTACTGATAACCTGATAACAAGCAATATGTCAAGTTAGACTACTAGTCTCTCCCTATCTCTAGCCACTTCCACTTCCTCTATCACCCCCCCCCCCCCTTTTTCCCCTTTTTTTCTTCCATATTCCTCTGTCCTTATTTTCTCTCTTACCACATACATAGTTTTGTTGTGATATGTAGATAACAAGCTATATATCAACAATTAGACACTCTTCCCTCTTCCCTTATCTTCCCTTTCTATTGCCCCTTTTTCCTTCACACCCCCAGCCCCCTTTTTTTCCACGCCGTAACCATACGGTTTTGTTACGTGCAGACAACAATCAAAATGTAAATAGGTAAACAGTGTCCCTCTCTAACCCCCCCCCCCCCCCTCCTCCCGAGCTCTCTCTCTCTCTCTCTCTCTCTCTCTCTCTCTCTCTCTCTCTTTCCTTCTATTTTTCCCCATCACTCTACCTCCCCTCTCTCTCGATTTTCTCCAATTTTGCCCTCTCTGGCTTCCCTAATACACACACTGTTTATTGACATGTAGACAACAAGCACTACGTCAACTATCTTTTTTCTTTGTTCTTTCTCATTCTCGCTCGCTCCATCTCTCTCTCTCTCTCACGCTCTCGCCCGCGCGCTCTTTCCCTCTCTTTCTGTCTCGCTGTCTCTCTCTCACACACTTATTTGTGAGGCAAGTCTGTACTTGTAGATATATCTGAATTATATCAACTATGCCTTTATTAGACATGCTTAAAACAGTGAAATAAAACAAAGTTGTGAGAGACAGTGCCCATATATTTTTTTTGACATAGCCCACATATTTCTTCTGACAGTGCCCATATATTTTTTTTGACATAGCCCACATATTTCTTCTGACATTGCCCACATATTTCTTCTGGCATTGCCCACATATTTCCTCTGGCATTGCCCACATATTTCCTCTGACATTGCCCACATATTTCCTCTGACATTGCCCACATATTTCTTCTGACATTGCCCACATATTTCTTCTGACATTGCCCACATATTTCTTCTGACATTGCCCACATATTTCTTCTGGCTTTGCCCACATATTTCTTCTGACGCAGCGCGCTTCGGGACCTAACACACAAAGATGGACAAACTTTGACAGTATTTCAACATGCGAATACATTTGAGCAGGCCAGTGTGGTCACTTGGATCATGGTGATGGATCTGAGCCGACCATTTGGGTCACTTTTGGACACGGCCAGCTCCAGATTTATAAGGCCGTACAGCTCGAACGGGAATTCCCGTTCTTGTGCAAGAATTGAGTCCCTCTGCGTCCACAGTTTTCATCGAGGAGATGTATACGCAAATTAAACTACAGTTTCATTAATTTTCGACATATTTTTTAGAACTATAGGTCATTTTTAAGGTAAATAAGTGTGCCGAATAAATATAACAATAAAGGCTCATACAGACAAACAAAAATGCTTTTGCTACAGTCAACATGAACATAAACATCAATAACGTTTAGATGTAAACTAAAAGTTGTTCCAGCAAAAGTAAAGAAATATCAGTGCTAACTCTTTGATTCTGAGAATATAAGCAGCCGGACGTGCTTTTGGACAACGGTCAATTCATACAAGTATCAGCCTAGTGTATATAGTCAGGTTTTCAAGTTTTTTTGAGTGGCCTTTAGATGTGCACCAGCACGCCGTCAATCAACAACATGCGCTATCATCATTACCTGATCATCAGTTTATGTTTGACCCGACCATCAGTTAATAATTGACATGACGATCAGTAAATGATTGGCACAACCATTACGTATTATAATGAATCAATTACTGTAACTATGATTAATTTAAAGGGGAAAAAACTGCCACGATAAATAATTAATAAATAATGGAGACTACAATTAGTTATTGACTAATACTACGATCACTAACTGACTCGAAAAGGACCAAGCAATCAGTGACCAGATCATCAGTTAATGCTTGGCGAGAGGATCGGTCAATGAGTGGTGTAAGGATCGGTCATTGACTGGCTCGCAGATCGGTCATTGACTGGCGCGAGGGCAGTCATTGACAGGGGTGATGATCGGTTATTGGCTAGAGCAAGATCCGGCCATTGAATGGAGCTGGGATCATTCAATGACTGGGACAAGGATCAGTCACTGACTGGGGCGAGGATCAGTCACTGACTGGGGCGAGGATGGATCATTGACTGGAGCAAGTATCAGTTATTTACTAGGGCGAGGATCAGTCACTGACTGGCCCTAAGGTCAACCAGTGTTTGTAATTCGGTCAATAAATGACTATTATGCTTCTCCTATTCAGTTAATGGCATCGCAGTCAGTCTGTAATTGACACAAGAACAACGAATTACTACCAAGCTAATCTACCAACAAATGATGTGAGAAATGCGATCAGGAGGATAGAATAAGCCCACGGTGACTGTTGCTGGACTGAAAACATAATAATAAAAAGCATCAACAATGATTTAAGTTTGACTGGCAACTATAGAGACAGAAAACAGTCACCATAATTGACAAGGAACCTCTGTTCCTAATGACAGAAAACATCCACTTTGATTTAATAGTGGTCATGAGTAACTGGGACCCACTGCATTTACGCTTATAGCAGAATATGACACCATCCAACTTCCAGACATTAAGTGTCCGCTTCCCTGCCACATTTACATTACTGATGACCTAGAACAGCGGTTCTCATCCTTCCTAATGCTGCGACCCTTTAAAACATTTCCTCATGTTGTGGTGACCCCCAACCATAAGATTATTTTTGTTGCTACTTTCTAATTTCAATGAATATGTGTTTTGTAAAGGTCTTTGGCAACCCCTAGAAAGAGTCGTTCGACCCCCTTCCCCCCCCCCCCAAGGGTTGCGACCCAAAAGTTGAGAACCTCTGACCTAGAGGGAAATCCTGAGGCTTGTTCAGACTTGAGAGAGACTAGTGTTTGTCAGAACATGCTCACGCCAAATTAGCTTCAGACGATTTCAGCAGGATAAACAGCTCTGGCTTATGCCTAAGGATTCCCATGTTCATGGCCCAATTAGCCGGCTCCCTCAAGTTCTCTCCACTGTAGCCTTCAACAACTGCATGCTGATTTAGCCCCTTAGTAGCATATCATTGTAGTCGTCAGTAATATAGCATTGTAGCCCTCCGTAACATAACATTGTAACTTTCAGTAACATAAGATTGCAGCCATCAATAAACTAACGTTATAGCCTTCAGTAACATAACATTGTAACCTTCAGTTACATTAGATTGTAGCCCTCGGTAATATAACATTGTAGGCCTCAGTAACATAAAATTGCAGCCTTCAGTTACATAAAACTGTAGCCCTTGGTAACATAACATTGTAGCCCTCAAAACATAACACTGTAGCCCTCAGTAACAAAACATTACAGCCCTCGGTAACATAACATTGCAGCTCTCGGTAACATAACACTGTAGCCTTCAGTGACATAACATTGGAACCTTCAGTAACATAACACTGTTATGAGTAAAGGCATTACATTTTAGCCTTCAATACGGGACTTAACTCTTTCGGCTTCATCTAACTACAAACTAACGTTTCTTAATGTTTCAAAGATAATGTGATGTTCTTGATTTTGTTGATCACAAAGAGATTTTACATTAACCAGTTGTGTCTGATTTGCTACTTTCCCAACAACTGTCTCACTGTGACTTTGTTCAGCTTCTAGAGACCCTCGTATTTATAGACTTTAAGTTCAGGTCATTAGGATTTAAAAAGCACCTACTTGCAACTAAAAATGTTAAAATTGTTGGAGTACAAATACCTGAGAGGCCAGGAACCAAAGACTGCATGCAAATAACTGAGACCAATGAAACGGATGTACACGCAACACTCACTTTCTGGAACGGGACTAGAGTCCAGAAGTGGACTAACAACCAGAACTTTTCCGTCGGAGTTTACAGAAGAAGAAGTTAAAATTGTTTCCTTCCGTAAAGGATTAGATGCTAGTCTTGATCAAGTCATTACACGGTATCCTTCAGCAAGGGCATACCATTGCAAGCTTCAGCGCGAGACTTAAATTGAAGCTTTCAGCACAGAAGTTAAATTGTAGCATTTGAAAAGATCCTGCCATCTTGCCTGGCCAGTCTCAGACTTCCTTGTGGCTCTCTTTGTTAAACAGATAGAAACAATCTTGTAGAATTGTTTGACTCAATCTCTGCTGTTTGGTGTGTTGCCTGGTCTGGTAGTCTGGTAGTCTGGTAGTCTTATTTTCAGCTTCATAGCAACGGGTCGCCCCATCTTTGCTCCGCTCCTGTGCCAACGAAAAACACCCAGAATGTTTATCACAGTCCCTTGTGGAAAGATTGACAGACTGCTGTCTCAGCAAATCTTGCATACACTCGCGTTAACGCATACGGTAGCTATCCGAAGTGCTAACACACAGTCCAACATTAGAAATGCAGTTCATCATTGACGATAGCAGAACTTGTCGATAACAGTTCAGCAATAGTCCACGCGATTAATTTTAACCAGATACGGGCACCGCCAACATTGCACGACAGGCATCACGCCATTTTCTGAATCTACAATTCACACCACCACGTTGGTCACAGTCGAAAATACATTCCAAATGCAATCCGCAGCTCACAGGGTCACGCCATGCATTCAACTCAGAAGCTGGGCGACGAAACTATATCCAGTCTACAAATGGAGCAAAAATACTCCGGCCACCGTCCGGCAGAAGCAAAATATTTGCCTCTGCTTCGAACAGCGCCGCTGTCTAGCGTCCATTGTAACCGGTATCTGTGTAGTAGGGTTTGGGATTGGCGCTCTTTTGTTTTGTACGAGGTCCGATAATTAGCTAATGAGACTGATTTTATTATGGCTAAGACAAAAATGCAATCTATGAATCACGCTTCTTTGACGAAATTGATGACATACAAAGGGGCGTAACATCGACTTTAAGGGCCATAACAACAGAAGAACTACAGAAGTCGTTCCAGTGTTTATTAGATCGTGCAACTTGCTGTAACAATGCACAAGGGGCTTACTTTGAATACAATACAGGTTAAATCTTGAACTGTTGAATTCTTTAATTTGTATCGAATTAGTTTCATTATTTAAATGTTGGACCTTGTATATGTTGGTTAGGTCTGTCTCTAGTCAGGTGCGCATGGGTAGGGAAGAACTTCTGCTGTATGTTCAATGCGGGGTGGACATATCAATTCATATAGCACGTTTGTAGTTGCAAATGAGGGAGCAGCTCCACTGCTGGGTGTATGTTGGGGTCGAGATCATAGTATCGCAAACGGTGAATGGTAAACGACTTGACTTTTGAGTGTAGGAATAAAACAGGTTGCTCACTTGACCTGTCTAAAGACCAGTGAGTTGAGGACATCAGTCTAAACTTGTTCATCTAGTCAGCTTATGAAAGTGAAAGTCATTGATTCAACAGTCAACATCAGTGGAAAATAATGGTTACACAAAACAGAAAATGACGATCCAGATTATAATAGGAGATCTACGATCGATGACGCTATACATCCAAAGTCCAGACTTTAACAGTTCCAGTAAAGGATGACATCTACAACGTAGAAGAATCCAGCTTAGGGGGCTGAGTGGCCTCGATGTATGGCGTTGTGTTAAGTGATAGGGGCCCCAGGTCCAGCGCACGTAGAGGGCTGGTGTTTTTTTGTTTTGTTCCTATTGATTTTCCCCTGGTCTCTGTGTGGTATTGTTACTCAGGTAAAAAAAAATCCCATAGCAACTGGAAATCGACAAACGTAGCCTAACGGAGCTGTCCGGGCAAAATTGGGAGTTAAAAATATACCCACACACTGCTATGAGATACTTTGAACTCAGGCTTGAGTTAGAAGAACGGAGCATTTATGAGCTACACCCTTGTGCCATGATGCTGATTCGTTGAATAAACATAAACATAAATATAATCCATCTGGCTACGTTGTCTGACCGTCCTTGACAAAATCATACTCTCTAACTGACCTATGTGATGTGGTCAAAAGACTCCTCCTCACCCCCGCCGGGCCCCGATATCAGAATCTGCTCGCGGGCGCGGATTATCCCCTTTTTGGAATAGCAGGAAAAAATCAATACACGGCTAGGGAGATGTGTCTGTATGTACTACAGTGCTAAAAGATTGTGTCTATAGGTATACTTCTCTTTGTTTCGTTCTGCCTTCCAGATGTTTTTGGATGAGAAAAACAACAACCCTTCACGCAATCCACTGGTGTATACCGTTTGGTTTCAACGGGAATGCCAACACTCAGAGCTGGGATACATGTAATACATCTAGAGGACATGTCTGCAGCACGTCTTCGGTATAGTAGGGTGCCTATACCACATGGACATAGTTCTGAGTACCCAGTTGTGTGTGTGTGTGTGTGCTACATATCGCAGTGGTAAGAAAGAGACACATGCTGTTGTTCTTTGGCCATGCTACATATAGCAGTGGTAAGAAAGAGACACATGCTGTTGTTCTTTGGCCATGCTACATATAGCAGTGGTAAGAAAGAAGACACATGCTGTTGTTCTTTGGCCATGCTACATATAGCAGTGGTAAGAAAGAGACACATGCTGTTGTTCTTTGGCCATGCTACATATAGCAGTGGTAAGAAAGAGACACATGCTGTTGTTCTTTGGCCATGCTACATATAGCAGTGGTAAGAGAGACACACATGCTGTTCTTCTTTGGCCATGCTACATACAGCAGTGGTAAGAGAGACACACATGCTGTTCTTCTTTGGCCATGCTACATATAGCAGTGGTAAGAGAGACACACATGCTGTTGTTCTTTGGCCATGCTACATATAGCAGTGGTAAGAAAGACACACATGCTGTTGTTCTTTGGCCATGCTACATATAGCAGTTGGTAAGAAAGAGACACATGCTGTTGTTCTTTGGCCATGGGCTACATATAGCAGTGGTAAGAGAGACACATGCTGTTGTTTCTTTGGCCCATGCTACTATAGCAGTGTAAGAAGACACATGCTGTTGTTCTTTGGCCATGCTACATATTAGCAGTGGTAAGAAGAGAGACACATGCTGTTGTTCTTTGCCATGCTACATATAGCATGGTAAGAAAGAGACACATGCTGTGCCATGCTACATATAGCATTTGGTAAGAGACACATGCTGTTGTTCTTGGCCATGCTACATATAGCAGTGGTAAGAAAGAGACACATGCTGTTGTTCTTTGGCCATGCTACATATAGCAGTGGTAAGAAAGAGACACATGCTGTTGTTCTTTGGCCATGCTACATATAGCAGTGGTAAGAAAGAGACACATGCTGTTGTTCTTTGGCCATGCTACATATAGCAGTGGTAAGAAAGAGACACATGCTGTTGTTCTTTGGCCATGCTACATATAGCAGTGGTAAGAAAGAGACACCACTGTTGCTGCTACATATAGCAGTGGTCTGTTGGCCATGCTACATATAGCAGTGGTAAGAAAGACACACATGCTGTTGTTCTTTGGCCATGCTACATACAGCAGTGGTAAGAAAGACACACATGCTGTTGTTCTTTGGCCATGCTACATACAGCAGTGGTAAGAAAGACACACATGCTGTTGTTCTTTGGCCATGCTACATGTAGCAGTGGTAAGAAAGAGACACACATGCTGTTGTTCTTTGGTCATGCTACATATAGCAGTGGTAAGAGAGAGATACATGCTGTTGTTCTTTGGCCTTGCTACAGGGATCGTGATCTGTGGAAAGAGGACTACGCCAATTGGCAGGGCACATTATGTTGATGATGATGGTGATGATGATGATAACGATGATAGCAGTGGAGTCTGTTGTGTCCGGTTCGCAATCTAAAAATAATCCCCCCCCCCCCCCGCCCCCAGCAACCCCCTTTCCCTTGACTGGGTCTGTCTTCAGGATTGTGTTGTGGGTGGGATATGTTTTCATTATGGTTGCATTCATCTGGGTTTTTTTCTCATCATATGTGCATACTGTGTCTGGACGTTCTCTATACTGCTCTCAGGTTGCGCTAAGCACTCTGCACTTTCGTTTCCCGTAATGTTGAAGTGACTTAAGATCCACCTGGGCACATTCTGCTTGGTCCGTCTAGCCATCTGGTTCAGCAGAGATCTCAGCTTGTTGAAAGGAGGAAAACATTTTTTTTTTCCATTGCTTGCAGCACTGAGCGAGCATCTGTATTGATCTGTCAGGGGCCGCGTTAGCGCAGTCGATAAGAGGATCGCTTTCAAATCCAGCTGCGACTCGCTGCAGCCCACGGTCGGTGTTCGAAACTGGGTGGCTCCCGGGGTTCACCCAGCCTCTAGGAAATGGGTATCAGAGTTGACAATCGGGGGTAAATGGAGGAACGTCGCTGTAGCTACAGAGTTAAGTGCGAACGGCGACACAGGCGGACAATTCTTATCAGCTGTCAGTACTGGTGGTAGAGCACTTATGGTTTATAACCGTGTGCAATGATGCTGGTTCACATCTCCCGACTTTACCTTTACCTCTGAGCATCTGTCACTATGATTACTTATTATTCAAAGTTGCATTTACCAAGTACTATGTATGCTGCTTCGTCCAGTCGCACTATCGCCACTTTGTGATTGGAGGAGTGTTTTCATGTTGGAAGAGTGAATTCTTTTTTGGCACCATTAGTCCATTCAATAGGGATTAATTCTCTTCCATTTCTTATAGCTTCTTTTGCTGAGCCATAATCATTTATATTTATTTATGTATTTGATTGTTTTATTTTAACTTCTGCAAATCTAAAAGAGTCTGCTTTCATTTGGTCAGGACGGCATCGGGGGTGTCTCTGATTGGTGGAATGTTCTTTGTGTTCCATAAGAGGCATTCGGAATAAATGGGCCATTCGATTTTTCGTTTTTTTTTTTTTTTTTATCAAATGGAAGCTCGTATTTTGTGTTTACTTTTTTGACTATCTGGATGAAGATAGATTTTTTTTTTTTAAATTAGTAAACTATTTCAATAGTTCATTGTGCAAGGGGTATTTTCTAGTGCAGCAAGTTTTGAGAACTGATTGAGCATCTTAGAACTGTTTCTGTCTTCCATAAATTTTAAGCCGGACCATGTTTTAATTTCTCCAGCTGGAGTTGAGCATAGGCTGCCGATAATCACTTTTCTACTTTTGCAGTTTTCTGAAACTAGCTAAAGATGTTTTTTCCCCATACCAGTATACCATATTCAAACACTGGAACCTATCTAGTGTAAGTTTACCTGAGTATTTCTGGGTAGCTCCCACCCCCTCCCTCCTCCCACCAAATCCCGTTCTTTTTAGTATTTTTTTAATGAGTGCAAACAAACCATTGTTGTTTTGTTCAACTTGTGGCTTTATTAACCTTGCCTCAGATGAGTTACAATGCTATAGAGTGGTGTGTCTAAAAAAGTTACAGAACTATGGAAAAGATGTGTCTATAGGCATTACATAGTTACAGAAATTATGTGTCTATAGGCATTACATAGCTACAGAAATGGTGTGTCTGTAGATGTTACAGAGATATGGAAATGATGTGTCTTTAGACATTACATAGCTACAGAAATGATGTGTCTATAGATGTTACAGAGATATGGAAATTATGTGTCTATAGGCATTACATATCTACAGAAACGGTGTGTCTATATATGTTACAGAGATATGGAAATTATGTGTCTATAGGCATAACAAAGCTACATAAATGGTGTGTATATAGATGTTACAGAGATATGAAAATTATGTGTTCTATAGGCATTACATACCTTCAGAAATGGTGTGTCTATAGTTACAGAGATATGGAAATTATGGGTCTATAGGCATTACAAAGCCACAGAAATGGTGTGCCTACAGATGTTACGGAGCTATGGAAATGATGTGTTTATATATGTCACAGAGCTATGGAAATGATGTGTTTATATATGTCGCAGAGCTATGGAAATAAGGGTGTTTATATATGTCAGAGAGCTATGGAAATGAGGTGTACATAGGCATTACAGAGCTATGAAAAGGCTGCGTCTGTAGATGTTACAGAGATATCGAAATGACGTGTCTATAGATGTTACAGAGATATAGAAGAGATGTGTCTATAGATGTTACAGAGCTATGGAAATGATGTGTCTATAGATGTTACAGAGCTATTGAAAGATGTGTCTATAGATGCTACAGAGCTATGGAAAATTATGTGTTTATTGATAATACAGAGCTATAAAAATGATATCAATAAGTATAACAAAGTTATATTTTGTATGTAATATATAGCTAGAGAGTGTTATATTATGATATTATTAATTTGGAAAATGTGTCTTTGTGGGAAAAATCTTGTTTAAGTGTTTATAATAATCATTGACTTAATGTAAAATCAATATAATTGTACATTTCAAATAATATAAAATGTACAAACAAAAACTCAGTCGTAGAGCTCCTGTAGAAGGCTGGAGTGGTGGTAGGTATGCCTTAGTCTCCTTAATTAACAAACCTCAGGTGGAGGTCCGAATTTCCGAGACTCTTTTTTTTTTAAATAAAATAAAGCTGCAGAAGCTGTGGGATCAGACGAGCTGCGATTTGTCTGTCCGCCTCCTGAGCTTCCATATTAGACCAGCCGCTAGCTAAAGCAAAGCGTTTAGTCTGCTGCCCTGCTATATAAAAGTGAGTTTTTTTTAGTAGACTTTTTTCTTCATCGGATGAAGTTAGCACCCCCCCCCCCCCCCCTTCTTCCACTGCGCTGCTCTGTCTGAATCCACTGGCTTAGTGTAGGGTGTCCTCCTGGTGTTTGATATGCTTTCATTTAAACTCTTGATGTGATGCAACAGTTTAATGAAAGTCTTCATGCTATGGAATTATCAGTGTACATAATCATCCATGAACATTAACACACGTAAACAACACATACAAATGTGTGTTGCACTAACTTCATTTCATATAAATTATTATTGACTCATAAGATACAAATCTTCTTATTAACACACTACTCTCAAAGACTGGCGTGATGCTGACCACATCACCCATCTTGTGCCGATTGCTCTATAAAAATATAGGTCTAGCCCTATATGCCATATACGCATAAAGGCGTGGAAAAGGGTCCTTTACTTTTTTTTTTTTACTCTCAAAGACTAGATATAATCTAAGGTCACACACACATACACACACACACGCGCGCGCCCACAAGCACACACTTTATACTAAAACAAATTTAACGCAACCTCTTGATGTCATACGAAACAGCATACCAAACTGGCATAGAGACTGAAGAAATAATAATAATAATAATAAATAATAATAATAATAATAATAATAATAATAATAATAATAATAATAAATAATAATAATAATAATAAGAATATATAATAATATAATATATAATAATAATAATAATAATAATATATACTATAATATAATAATAGAATAAAAAGAAGAAGCAGATAAGAAGAAGAAGAAGAAGAAGAAGAAGAAGAAAAGAAAGGAAGAAGAAGAAGAAGAAGAAGAAGAAGAAGAAGAAGAAGAAGAAGAAGAAGAAGAAGAAGAAGAAAAAGAAGAAGGAGAAGGGGTTGGAGGAGAAGCTGGTGAAGGAGGAGAAAAAGCAGGATGATTAGGAGGTGGAGGAGGAGAGAAGATGAAGAAGAAGAAGAAGAAGAAAAAGAAGAAGAAGAAGAAGAAGAAGAAGAAGAAGAAGAAGAAGAAGAAGAAGAAGAAGAAGAAGAAGAAGAAGAAGAAGAAGAAGAACAAGAAGAAGAAGAAGAAGAACAAAAAGAAGAAGAACAAGAAGAACAAGAAGAACAAGAAGAAGAAGAAGAAGAAGAAGAAGAAGAAGAAGAAGAAGAAGAAGAAGAAGAAGAAGAAGAAGAAGAAGAAGAAGAAGAAGAAGAAGAAGAAGATGAAGAAGAAAAAGAAAAAAACGAAGATGAAGAAGAAGAAGCAGTAGCAGCAGCAGCTCTACAAGAACACGATGCCACATACTGCCACTTGTCTATATTCCATGTAGTCCTCATGCATATTGTATTTGTATCAAACGTTGAACAAACTGTTATTTCTCTCATTTCATTTCAGCAATGAAATATAATAAACAATGAAATTTTGCAATGCATGACTTTCACAGCATCCTTTTTTGTTCATTTGTTTTATGTAGCTTTTAAAATCGCTGTCAGTTAAATTTCTCACACATCTGTGTATGCGTCCATGGGCGAGCGTGTTTGTATGCATGGCTTTTATCACATTTTCTCATCATTCATGTTCTCTTTTCATTCTCTCTGGTTATGTTCTTTTTTCTCTCACACTCTCACTCTCTCTCTCTCTCTCTCTCTCTCTCTCTCTCTCTCTCTCTCTCTCTCTTGTCATGCTTACTACTCATTCTCTCCAGTCATGTTCTCTACTAATTTTCTCCAGCCATGTACTCTTCTCATTCTCTCCAGTCATGTTCTCTACTCATTCTCTCCAGTCATTTTCTCTTCTCATTCTCTCCAGTCATGTTCTCTTCTCATTCTCTCCAGTCATGTTCTCTTCTCATCCTCTCCAGTCATGTTCTCTTCTCATTCTCTCCAGTCATGTTCTCTTCTCATTCTCTCCAGTCATGTTCTCTTCTCATCCTCTCCAGTCATGTTCTCTACTCATTCTCTCCAGTCACGTTCTCTTCTTATTCTCTCCAGTCATGTTCTTTTCTGACTATTACGTCATGTTGTCTTCTCTTTCTCTCCAGTTCTATTCTCTTCTTTTCTCCAGTCATGTTGTTTTCTTATTCTCTCCAGTCATGTTCTCTTCTTATTCTCTCCAGTCATTTTGTCTTCTTATTCTCTCCACTCATGTTCTCCTCTAATTCTCTCCAGTCATGTTCTCTTCTCATTCGCTCCAGTCATGTTCTCTTCTCATTCGCTCCAGTCATGTTGTCTTCTCATTTGCTCCAGTCATGTTTTCTTCTCATTCGCTCCAGTCATGTTCTCTTCTCATTCTCTCCAGTCGTGTTCTCCTCTACTTCTCTCCAGTAAATAAACAGAGGGGGACCCTTTGAGACCGTTAAATAAGGTCTTACTGTGTTCGTAAATTGTTGCTGTGGTTGTTATTCGACATTTGCTTCGTTAATATAAATTTCTGTAACCTATGGGGCCATTGCAATGGGTTGAAATGAATGCTGTCCGCATTCCATAGTTGTGGATTTCAAGCTGTACGATAGACATGGCCAATAAATACCTTTTTTTTTGTGGGGGGGGGGGGGGGTGCCTAGTTGACCATGTTTCTTAGTGCACTTGTATTCATGGCGAGGAGCAGACGCCGTCTGGAGGTGATAGGTTTCAATCCCCGGCACGGTAACTATGCTTTTCGATTATTTTATGTTGTCTAGTGTGTTCTTCTATCTTTCTACTTCTTTCTATGAGTGCCGATCAATTCACTTTCTGTTACTCGATTAATTCATAATACTTCTCTTCAGTCATGTTCTCCTTTGATTCTCTCCAGTCATGTTTTCTTATTATTATCTCCAGTTATTTTGTCTTCTTATTCTCTCCACTCATGTTCTCTTCTTATTCTCTCCAGTCATGTTCTCTTTCATTTGCTCCAGTCATGTTCTCTTTCATTCGCTCCAGTCATGTTATCTTCTTATTCTCTCCAGTCATGTTCTCTTCTTATTTTCTCCAGTCATGTTCTCTTTCATTTGCTCCAGTCATGTTCTCTTCTTACTCTCTCCACTCATGTTCTCTTCTTATTCTCTCCAGTCATGTTCTCTTTCATTTGCTCCAGTCATGTTCTCTCTTATTCGCTCCAGTCATGTTCTCTTCTTATTCTCTCCAGTCTCCTCTAATTTCTCTTCTTATTCTCTCCGCTCCATTCATGTTCTCCTCTAATTCTCTCCAGTCATGTTCTCTTTCATTCGCTCCAGTCATGTTCTCTTCTTATTCTCTCCAGTCATGTTCTCTTTCATTCGCTCCAGTCATGTTCTCTTCTTATTCTCTCCAGTCATGTTCTCTTCTTATTCTCTCCAGTCATGTTCTCCTCTAATTATCTCCAGTCATGTTCTCTTTCATTCGCTCCAGTCATGTTCTCTTCTTATTCTCTCCAGTCATGTTCTCTTCTTATTCTCTCCAGTCATGTTCTCCTCTAATTCTCTCCAGTCATGTTCTCTTTTATTCGCTCCAGTCATGTTCTCTTCTTATTCTCTCCAGTCATGTTCTCTTCTTATTCTCTCCAGTCATGTTCTCTTTCATTTGCTCCAGTCATGTTCTCTTTCATTTGCTCCAGTCATGTTCTCTTCTTATTCTCTCCACTCATGTTCTCTTCTTATTCTCTCCACTCATGTTCTCTTCTTATTCTCTCCAGTCATGTTCTCTTCTTATTCTCTCAAGTCATGTTCTCTTCTTATTCTCTCCAGTCATGTCCTCTTCTTATTCTCTCCAGTCATGTTCTCTTCTTATT